GTGAATGCTAATGGGTACAGAGTTTATTTTGGGGTAATGAAAGTGTTCCAAAATTGTGTGTGGTGATTCATAAGTCTATGAGGATACTAAAACCACTGAATCACACAGTTTAAATGGGTGAATTGTATGCCATATGAATTATATTTCAATAAAACTGTTATTAAAAAAAGACATTGCTAGAGAAGAGCAGGATCTCTTATAACGAGATTTATTTCATCAGTAATACATAAGAATTTCAAACACTAATACCAACTCTAGGCTACAAAAAAGCAATATTAATAAAACTACAAGGAGAAATAGAAAAACCCACGATGCTTGCGAAAATCTTAACCACTATCTCCTTCAGTAACTGAGAAAACAGAAAAAGAAAAGGAAAAGATATAGAAGATTTAAAAGCAACAAAATCAACACACTGACCTAAGGACCAACACACAGTCCTGCAAACTACAGGATACACATTCATTCTAGGCACACACAGGACACCTGTAAAACTGATCAAATACTGAGCTACAAGACGAATCTAAAACAATTTCAAAAAACCCAAATCATACAAAGCACGTTTTTAAAACCACAACACAAACAAACTAAAATCACTTGTTTTATTTATCACTTATATAGTGTTTACTATAGGCCAGGTCTTATTCAACTTGCTTCACAAATATCCACTAAATTCATCTTTATAACAGGTCTATGATGCACGTGTTATTATTATCTCCATTCTATAGTTAAGGTTTACTATGAATGATTTGCCCAAGATCACACAGCTGGAATACAAAACCAGGCAGTTTGGCTCTGAGTCAGTGATCCTGACCCCTGTGTTTATACTGCCTCTCAATAGCAAAGGAATAATTAGAAAAATCCTCTAGTGCATGGAAATTACCAAATATATTTCGGGCTCAAAGAAGAAACCACAACTGAAATAAAACTTTTTTACTTAAGTGACAGAAACTTGTGGAGAAACTCAAGTAGCATTTAAGGGAAATTTATAACCTCAAATGTTCATATTACAAAAGAAGCATGGTTGAATATCAAGGATCTAAGTTTCTATCTCAAAAACAGAGAAAAAAGAACATAAAATTAAAGCCTCTAGAGAAGTAGAAAGAAGGAAATAATAAAGACAGAAGAGAAACCAATCAAATGGAAAGCAGAGGCATAACAAAGAAAATAAAGCCAAAAGCTGCTTTTTTCTAAAGAATGATAATATTGATAAACACCTGGCAAGATTGATCAAGAAAAAAAGAAAATACCAATTACCAATATCAACGAAAGAGGATATCACCACAGATCTCATGGACACTGAAAAAATAATGAGATTATTATGTTACATATGTAAATACACTTGACAATTTAGATGAAATGGACAAATTTCTTTAAAAAACAAACAGCAAAACTGACAAAATGAATAAGAAAATCTGACTATTCCTTTACTACTAAAGAAATTAAATTCATCATTTAAAATTTCCCAATAAGAAAAAGTCCAAACACATATGACCTTGCTACCAAACATTTAAAAAAACCCTCACCTCACAGAAACCCTTTCAGAGAACAGAAGATGGAACAATTTCCAGTTCATTTTAGGAATATCATAACCCTCATGCCAAAATCTGACAAGACTATCGCAAGAAATGAAAATTATAGGCCAATATATTTCATGAACATAGACTCAGTAATCCTAAATCTGTTTCCCTCACTCCAGTCTCAGTTCTAGGTCATCTCTTCTCACGATAAAACCTTTCCCCAGGATTCCATCCACACACGTGGTTTCAAAGACCATCCTTACACAGATGACTCACATTTTTCTCTTTAGTCCAGACTCTTTCCTTCCATCCCATCCACCTCTCCACTCTCATCCTCTGTCACCTGGACAAGGGAAATAGCATCCTATATGGTCTCTCTATATCCAGTCTTGCCCTGGTCCCATCCATTCTCCCTACATCACAATCAGGGTATTGTTTTCAAAATGCAGATCTGATCAGTCACTCTACTACTGGAAACCATTCAATGGCTTCTTTTCCTTTTTTGGATTTAAACTAAATTTAGGGGGGGCCGGCCCCGTGGCCGAGTGGTTAAGTTCACGCGCTCCGCTGCGGCAGCCCAGGGTTTTGCCGGTTTGGATCCTGGGCACGAACATTGCACCACTCATCTGGCCACGTTGAGGCGGCGTCCCACATGCCACAACTAAGATATACAACTATGTAGCGGGGGGATGTGGGGGAGATAAGGCAGGAAAAAAAAAAAAAGATTGGCAACAGTGGTTAGCTCAGGTGCTAATCTTTAGAAGAAAAAAACAACTAAATTTGGCCTATGAGGCCCTACATCATCACACTCTTACCAATTTCCCTAGCAGCATTTTGAGCTACTTCCATCTTGTACTCTTGGCCCCAGCCATTCTGTCTCTTATCACATGTTCCATTTTCCCTGCCACCCACAGTTTCTTTGCATACGCTATTCTCTACCCAGATACTCTTCTTTCCCTCTCTTTGCCTAGTTAATTCTTACTCATCTTTCAGAGACTCCTATACCAAGTCAAAATCTCCTATTATATACTCTCATTGTACCTTCTATCCTTTAATCTGATCACTTAGCAAAATTGCAATTTCACATTTCATTCATTCAATTATTTGCTTAGTGACTTTCTCTTCCATTAGACTTTAAAGTTCCCTGATAGCAAGGACCTCTTTCTCCTCACCATTCTATCCTCAACAGCAAGGACAGTACCTAGCATACAGTAGATACTCAATAAATTATCTGTTGATTTAATGAATCTTTTCCTGTTACCCATACAAACTTTAATCAAACTACTGTAATCCAACACACTTAATTTGCATTCAGTTAATGTGAAGATTTTCAATTTCAAAAGTATTTTAAAAGTACAGTAGCACGTCTCCCTTATGGATGAGATGCATATCTAATTAGTCGAATGTAAACTAAATGTTTTTCATTGGAATTTTTCTCATTGACTTGTTTTTTAAAAATAGTTCCAATTCTCTCTCTTCAAATGTCTGTAACGCATCACAGTTTAGCCAAACATTTCTCTACCCCTTCCATCACTGTAGCACACAAATAACTAAATGTGGAAAGTGGTGGTAGTTAAGCATATATTTAGTAAAGAAAAGAATCCTTTCATAATATAGGTTATAATTCTTCAATGGCTCTATTATAAAAGTTGGAGCGCAGCAAACAGAGTTTCTTGAAAACAAGTGTACCTATAATTCTCCATTGAGGAAGTGGAGAGAAGAAAAGAAAGGAGGGAGACACAGAGACATTTCTGGCAAGCGGTAACAAGAAAATATGCTCTGGTGCTGTCGTTACCTTCTCCTTTTCCAATGATATTTCTGCCTTCAATTTTCTATGACTGACATCAAGCCAGATAGGCACAGAATATTGATCCATATCCATCTGGCATTCCACTTAAGCAGGTATAATGGGGTGAAACTCTAAAGCCTCATGGATTGCAGAGATATTTCTTTAAAAGGAATTAAAATTGGTACAATAGTTTACATTGTTCAAAAGTTAATACTAGCTCCAATTTATTCTACTTGCATTCTTTAAAATCAGCTTAATTTTCATGACTTGATGTCAGGCAAAAAAAAACAAAAACAAAAACAAAAACAAATCCTACAGTAAAGAATTAACAGTGGATTGACTGCTCACAGGTATGGGACTTATTTTTGGGTGATGGAAATGTCCAGGAATTAGATAGTGGTGATGACTGCACAACATAATGAATATACTAAAAACCACCAAACTGCACATTTTAAAAAGGTAAATTTTACATGAATTATATCTCAATTAAAAAATTAACAGTGGTCAGTAAGGAGCCTTGAAAGTTAAAAATGTTTTCTCCTCTAACACTCTCTCTGAGGATACAAAGAAATAAGACATTCATTCTTAATTAGGAGCAAAGAGTTCTTCAAGGTGGTACATAGGATAAAGAGCACCAAAAACTCCAAGATGACATCTGGAGGTTTTTTCCTTGTTTTCCCCTTTCCCTAACCACCATGCTTCTTTTGTCCAGCCTTTTCGTTTCACCCAATTTTGTTTGCTAAATAGCAGTGACATTTTAAAATATACAAAGCATCCTGAATCAGGCAACGGTCCTTCTGCTTCATCGATCTAATTTGTCCCAAACTTGTAGTTACTAGGAACCCCTCATGGATGTAAGAACTGCTGGCTTCTTTTCTTTCAGATCCTCCTGCACCAAGTCAACTGAGTTTTGTTCCAAAATCAAAACTCAGCTGATTTACCTTTATAAATTGAATTGATATAAGGCTCCAAACAGGCTAATTTCAGGGAATTATTGAAAGCTGAATTCAGGTTCAAAAAACGAACAAAAAAAAGAGGCAAGGATCGATTCTCAGATTATTCTCAGCAATAATCTGGTCCCTATCTATTTCTCTAGCCTCATGTCGTGGGACAGCCTCACCTTGCATTCTCAGCTCCAGCTACACTGTCTATCATTTATCCCATTTTCCCTGCCGCTCACAGGACCTTTGCACGTGCTATTTCCCTCTACCCAAGACACTCTCCTCTCCCCTTTGTCTAGTTGATTCCCACTTATCTTTCAGGTCTTCCTGGATCAAGCCAAAATGCTGAGGGAGTGTTCTAATCAACGGCCTTACCGACAGGAGTACATTTAATAGACGTGGAAAATTATATCTCCGCAGAGGAGGTTCTAGGCCACCCTAGACGTGATTTCATTTCAAAGAACTTTCATGGAGATCTCGGGAAGGCTAGCGGCAGGGCTGCAGGACCGACGCTCGGGCTTTCTCCAGCGCGCGCCCGGCGTGAAGGGGCCCAACGGGGCGTTCCGGCGCGCGGAGACTCGCTGGGCCGGGAGAGGGACGCAGGGTCGCAGGACGGCCGCTCCCCTGGTTCCCTGCCAGCACTGCCGTTTTGCGGGCTCGTCCGCGGGGGCACCCCAGCGGGCTCCGCTTTCCGGACCCGGACCCCACGCGCCCCCCGGTCCCCGGCCTCCCGAGCGCTCCGCGGACACTCACCATCCGCCCGCACAGAGAGGCGCGGCAGAGCGAGCAGGAGCAGCGTCGCCGCCCAGAGCCGGGCGCGGAGGCCAGGTCCCTCGGCTGCCATGGTGCGGGCGCCCGCAGGCCGGCGGGCTCGAGGCGACTCTGGCTGCGATCCGGGCGGCCCGGGCCACTGCCCAGCGTGCGCCGTTCGGCTCTGCGCGCTGCGCTCGGCTCGCGCGCCGCAGGCTTCGCGCCCGGCGCGTCGGGAGGGAGGAGCGCGGAGGGCCTCGGGGAGCTGGGGACGCCGGAGCCGCGGCGCTGGGGCCCCGAACTCCCCGGGGTCTGGTCCTTGGCGCCGGGGAGGCGGCTGCAGCCCGGCTCCGCCTTGGTGCTGGACACCTGGAGGCCTCGGTGCCAAAAGAGGCTGCGCCGGACCGCGAGCCCCCGGGGCGCCGCCCGGGCGGAGGGCGAGGGCGCAGGGAGGCGGGGAGAACGCAGCGCCGGCTGCAGGGAACCCCCGACTGGCTGGGGACCCTCGGCGCGAGGGTGAGGCAGTCTAAAAGGGCGAGCCCCTCTGGGAGGACCGTTCGAAAACGGATGCCTAACTCTGCCCTCTGCCTCTTGACTTTCCAGCTGGCGTCCTCCTGTAGAGGAGGAACATTTTTATGAAAAAGAAGAAGACTCTAACTCACCAACCTCACTCTAAGGAATGAAACGCACGGAATAGCGAGACGCCTCTTCTCTAAGAGCTTAGATTGACAGTCACTCCAAAAGGGGCATCTGCGCATCGCTTCCTTCACGACTTTTCCAGGTACACCGTAACCTTTCTCCAAGAACACCATGAGCGCTGGTGGGGATGTCACCATTACTACACCTCCCAAAGCAGGGCTCCTTGACCTGGAGAGGGCCTGCGATTCGGATTTTTTTCGGAATCTACTTTCTAAATAAGTGTCCCTATGAATCCTGCTGCAGGCGTCCCTGCCCTGAATTGATTTCTTCTTCCAGATTACCCGTCTCCCAGCATCAACAGTGAAGGAACGAAAATTTGCATTCTTCGTAGGTGGAGTAATAAAGATCGGCATTGTTATAAGTGGGGCACTGGTGGCACTGCACAGTTTACAGACCCCTTCCGTCTTCATGTACTGGTCAACAAATATCTATCGAGTGCCCTCGGCGTGCCTGCGCCCGTGCTGGACCCCGAATGAGGCTACAGTCTGTCCTAAAAATGCTCACGCTTAAATGAGACAGATGCTTGAGGAAGATTGAACAAGTGATTGGTGCTAACAGGGACAGATGATTGACCCAATGACAATGAACTGGGATGCAGACATTGAAAGACTATTTACTTTCTTTTCCAGGTGAAAACTGGGATTTGAACCCACATCTGCTATATTACAGGTGTCACTTTTCAGATCACGTAGTTTTTGACGTTCACGGAGAAGATGTCTCCTCTCCATGTTCCACCCCAAATGTCAACTACAAGGCTATTATTAGTGGTTAATTACTTTGTGAAATAAAACTTGGTTTTAAAAATACAAATACCTTAGGGTGTTAAATGCAGTGAGGCCTGACAATCATTCACATGTAAGTGTAAATTAACTTACTTAGCTACTTCTTTTCTAACAGCTAACTGGTAACCTGGAGCGAGACTTGGCATGTTTGGGCTGGAGGGGACCTTTTAAAGCCTGATGATTGCTGAGAATGGAAGGGAGGAGCCAGAAGGCACCTGCAGGAGCACCGGACCGGTTCCTTCAGGAGCTGTGCCTGCTAATGTTTTCAGAATAGTCAACTGGATATTACTACCTAATCCTAATGACATTTTAAAGTTTGTCTTTATGCAGGTCTGTCTTGGGCTGTCCTAATTTAGAGAGATGACATGCTCTAAAGGTTTAATTGGTACAACTGCTTGAGAAAACGGTTTGGCTGTTTCATATAAAGTTAAACATATACCTCCCCTATGGAACAGAAAGTCCACTCCTAAGTGTATATCCAAAAGAAATGAAAACTTAGGTCCACAAACAGATTTGCACACAAATGCCATAGCAGCTTTATTCAGAAAAATTAAAAACCGCAAGCAACCCAAATGACATCAACAGATGAATAGAAAAACTGTGTAATAGTCACACAAAAGAATACTATTCAACAGTAAAAGGAATGAAAAACTGATACACTCAATAATGTGAATGAATCTCAAAAATATTGTGCTGAATGAGAAAAGCCTTACTCAAAAGACTTACACTTACTGTGTGCTTCCATTTTTATACAAAGTTTCAAGAAGGGGAAAAACTATTCTGTGGTGAAAACAATCCATACACTGGTTGCTTCTAGGGGGGTGGGAACACAAAGGAACTTCTGAAGTGACGCGAGTGTTCTGTATCTTGATGAGCATGGTGGTCACAGGAGTGCATGCATTTGTCAAACCTCACCAAACTATACACTTAAAATCTGTGCCTTCTGTTGAATGTTATTTATACCTTAATAACAAATATTTCAAAAATAATATTCAGCCATTGACCTAAGGAATAAATAGGTTTAATAGAAAAGAGTCTAATAAAAGGACCACATGTAGAGATGTGGGCAGAGTTGAGGGAACCAATAAAGGATGGTAAAGCTCTCGGGACTATCAACAGTAGGAAGCCGTTACCACCTTGAGGCCTGAAGGTGTGAGGGGAGGGTGGGGCGTTACCAAAACCCAGCAAGGGCTGTGGCCATGAAAGAGGATGCCTGAAAGGAGTGGTAGCCATAGGTAGAAGATAAAATCGCTGCCACGGGCCTGGTAGGGAGGGAGTGGGGAAGAAATACCCCAGCCTCTCTCTCCTTCTAACCTTCAGATTCCTCCTGATGCCCCCTATGGGCTGGAGGGCAAAGGAGCGCAGGTGCCACGGTCCTTAGATGTTGTCCTCCCAGGATGCAGAGTTGGGCAAAGAAGGGTAGAGAGTGGATCTGGCGAGGCAATTGGAAGACAGCCAGCAATCCATCTATTCTTTTCTTTCATATGGATGAAAATAATTAAAAACAAGACAGGGGAAACACAAAGTCCTATCTATTTCTGTATGATCTAGAAGTACATCAATTCAAATATGTCAATCAAATTCTCACTTGGAGCTAACCTGTAATATTAACCACCATCAGTGGTTATTTTCACATAAGTCCTCTTTCACTTAAAGAGAAAAGGGGAGAAGTAAACTATTATCATAAAATATAGATGCTACAGTTCCCACTTCCGTAACTGGTCATGAGGCCTTATTTGATAATCATTGCAATGTTACCCTTCCACTCTCTGAACATCTTTCACCGCAGGAGTTTTTGTTTGTTTGTTTTTTTAACTGGTGGGAAGGACCCAGACTTTCATTCCTACTAAGGACCTATCTTTATTGGTTTGCCACGTTTCCTACTGACTTTTGGATGTGGGAATCCCCAGGGATCTAGACATAGTCATCCAAGCCCCCATTATGTAGCAGCAACCCAATTTTCTCCTGGTAATCAGGATCAATCACCAGCCAGAAGAGTGGCCTTATTTTCTGTCTGTTGGAGAGCAATCTTAGCTTCCAATTTACTGGCACATACCTGTGTGTTTACTGGTGGAAGTATTTCTGCCTCGCCCGCCCAAACCTCCCAATTCACCAACCTAAAGATTGTGGCTATGGTGTGTGAAACTTTGGTAGGTGGATTATTACATGTAATAGAAAGGCACTCACTCCCACTTCCACTCCTTGGTTCTTAGTGTATTCTGTCTGTAGAGAAATGACCACGGATATTGGCTGCTGTTTTTAAGGCATATACTGTATCCTGGATGACTGCCCAAACCTCTCAGAGTGTTGTCCCCAGCTAGTACCCTGTGACCTCACCTTTCTATCAAGACACCTGCTTCTGGGTAATGGGGTATATAGTAAAACTCATGGGCATGAGTCCATTGCCCTACTGCCTTTGCCATGAAATGATTTTCTTGGTTATAGATGATGTAACAGGTGATTCCAGGGCAATAGATGAGGCATTCCTTGAGTCCATGATAGTCGTGCTAACAGAAGCAAGACAGGCAAGGAAGGCAAAATCATGTCTAGTATAAGGATCTGTTCTAATGAGTACACATAACTGTGGCCTTTATGAACAAAGGGATCCAATGTAAACAATCTTTTCCCACATAGCCAACAGGAGGGGCCGGCTAGGGAATGATGCCACATGGGGACTCACGGTGGCTTCTGCTGTTGGCACATTGGACACTCAGCAGTGGTGGTAATCAGATCAAATCTAAAAAGAAGAGAGGTTCGTGTTATTGCACTCCTGCAAGGCCTCCATCCCTGTCACCATGGCCCCTACATACACAGTTCCATCGCATAAGCACAGATGTGGCTGGAGAAGGAGGCAACTGACAGCTAGAAAATGGGTCCAATTCTCCCAGGTGTCCACCTGATTGTTAGGAGCATCTTCTCCACTGTAATGCCTGTAGAGGGGGATAGGCTGCATATGTATTCACAGGCTGCTCATTTCAAGAGTTCCATACTGACACCCTTGTTATCAGTCCTCCAACCTTGAATTTTTCAATTCTCTGACCAACTCTTTTAGGCATTAGCCATAAATCAATGCAGATCCATGAATAAACCATTTTTCCTTTCATGTAAACCAACGTTCCACCCATTGGGAGGATTTTCTTTTGTTGCTTCTTTTTCATTGTGGTAAAATATACATAACATAAAATTTATTACTTTAACCATTTTATATGTATAGTTCTATGACATTAAGTACATTCACATTTTTGTGCAGCCATCACCACTATCCATCTCTAGAACTTTTTCATCATCCCTAACTGAAACTTCGTGCTCATGGAACAATAAATCCCATTCCCCGCATCCCCCAGCCCCTGGTAACCACTGTGCTACTTCCTGGCTCTATGAATTTGACTCTTCTGGGTACCTAATATAAGTGGAATCATACAATGTTTGTCATTTTGTGTCACTACTGTTTTTAGTGCTATACCAGAGTGGGGATGGCTGATGCTATGCCATCAACACTCAAGTGTAAAGCCAGCCCAAGGGTTTTCCTCTTCTGTTAAGTGAAACTCCCCATGAGTCCATAGGCGTGGGTTGGGGTTGAGGCAGCAAAGCAGTAGGAGCAAGTGCCGTGAGACTCTGAGTCACCTGCCCGTCAATTGACTTGTTCCTTCCAGACCCACCCTTGTATATACCACTTCCACTTAACAGTGCAATTCTCCGTGTGATTCAAAATGCCCCATTCATGAGTCCAGCTAAGGTCTCATACTCACGTGGTGTCTGTGGTCAAGTCAATCTCCACCAAGGCCTAATAGCAAGCTAGGAACTGCTTATCAAATGGAGAATGGTTGATTTTACCCTAAAATCTAGAGGTCTGCATTGCCATTCTACTATTTTGTTTTCCCAAGCTTCATAAGGTATCCCTATCTGCCACACACACAAAGCATTGTGTCTTTTGTGACACGATGCCAAAGTGGCAAGGCAGTTTGCACTGCTGCCTGGATGTTGTGGAGTTCCCTCTTGCTATGGACTATTTTCAAAACTGTGAGCCTTATGGGTCTCCACATAGTAAATGGTCCCCAAACCACCGTATCTTGTTATTCCTCATGGTAGTACAGAGGTATCAGTTTGTCTCTAGATACAGCCCTGAGATGAGACAGTGAAAGTGTGCTGCTATCCTTGCTAGACAAAGGCAAAATACTTCTGTTGATGAAATTAAAAATAAACCATTGCTGGGTTAATAATGACATAACAAGTGCCAAAATCTGTATTGATTTATCCTAGGAATGACAATATACCTGGAAGAGCAGGTGCAATTGCCCTCAACACCTGATTAATTTGAAGATAAGCCACTAACAGTGTCCAAATTCTTCTGGCTTTCACTCCAGCAAACAGGAAAGAAACATTGAATGACCAAACATCCTGGTTTATACCTCTTGTTTGTGCCTCTTGTCCCAGCATCCTGTCCAATTTTATATTTGATCCAGATTTTTCATTTTCAAAAGAAAAATTATTAACAGTAAAAGTAACATAAACCAGAATGGTAGTTGTCAATTTTGCACTTCTAGCTTCTGCATATTGTCACCTGGTAATGTGTGAGATGCGTGTGCAGTTCTCACTTGAAAACATGGTTAAACATGAAAGATAACCAGAGACCCATCTCATTTTCCCTGACCTTTTTCTGATGCCATGTAACC